AAAAATGTGTATATATATATATATATATATATATATATATATATATATATATTAATTTTTTAATATTATCAAAAAAAAACTAAAATAATATTTTAATAAAATAAATTTTAAATAAACAAAATAAAAGGACTTAAATAAATATTAAAAAAAGAATGACGCAATATGATATAGTAGGCGCTATAAAAATAAAAGACGGATTGTATTTAGGGGATGAATATGCAGCTTAAGATTTAGAATTTATAATAACAAATAAAGTTACATAGATAATAAATTGTTCTGCAAAACAAATACCAAATCACTGGGAAAATTTTGATGTTACCTATTTATCATATGATTGGTAAGATTCGGATAATTAAGTAAAAAATTAAATTAAAAATGCATTTTGTATTTAAAAAATAATTAAAAGATAATATTTGATGACAAAGATTAAGTAGTTAATATAACATACAATTTAATTGAAAAAACATTAGAAAAAGCCGAAAGTATACTAGTTCATTCTGAAAAAGGTTAGAATAGATCAGTTTGTATAATTACGGCTTATTTAATGAAAAAATATAGGTGGGGATTATATAAAACACTTGAATTTTTACATTCTAGGCGTTAAGATTTAGAAGTAAAGGCATATTTTTTTAATTAACTTTTAACATTAGAGAATAAACTTAAGAAATAAGGAGTTGGTCCAAGAAGTTATAATTGGAATGAGTTATCAGATAGAAATGATTAAGAGGAAATTTTATTAAAGAATACTTTTTTAAATAGTAAATTAAAATAAATAGAGGAAGAGGATATGAAAAAAGATTTCGAAAAAGATATTGGTTTTTGTTAAAAAAATGAAGTTATTTAAGATTTTGATTTAGATTCTTTTAATATTGAAAATGAATAATTATAATAAAATGTTAATAAAAATAAATAAGAAGGAGTTTCTTAAAAAAAAATTGAATGGGTAGATGATAAAAGTAAAGGAGAATAATAATTGTGTGTTTTAGAAATTCCAATTTTCGAATAATGTAACTTCAATGTCTATAATAGTAAATAAATAGAATCTTTTAAATCAATTATAAAAGTATTTTTTTAAAATATTGAATTTATATATATATATTTTTTTGTTTTTATATATTTATAATTTATTTTTTTATTATTTAAAAGGGTTCTAATAAAATCTTCTAAGTTAAATTTTAAAGCTTAAATAATATAAATTTAGAGAGAAATGATTAAGCTTTATAAAATTAAACTTAGAGTGATTAATTTATTAATTTTACAAGAAAAAAAACTAACTTTAGAACGAAAAAAATGGAAGATTTTAATTAAGAAAAGAAAATTATAATGTAAAAAACGGAATAATAATCTCAATAATAATAGAAATAAGAATTTAATATACCATAAACTAAATAATTAATAAATTTAAAAGAAGTGAATAAAATTTAAAGTATTTTTTTTCATTTTAAATTATGAGAAAATAACTATTTTAATATTTTTGTTAAAAAATAAAGAAGATACATTAAATTCGGTTGTCAATAAATAATTAAAAGAAACATTTGCAAATTATGAAGAATATAGCGAAAAAAATACATTTTAGAATAATGATAATTAAAAAAGTATAAACGAATTAAGAAAAAAAAGTAATAAATTTAAAAAATAAATATATAAAAAATCGATTTTTTTTTTATTTTAAAATTACTAGTCACAAGAAAAGATTTATAGTAGTTATTGCATTCGGAAGGAAAATAAAATAATTAGAATTTTCAAACAATATAATAAAATACAAATGAAAATTAATAATAATAAAAATATTCTTAATAGTATAATTTATATTATAATTGTACACCTTCTTAGTAAAACTTTTTTGTAAAAAACACTAAACAAAATACTTTATATGATGGCTTTATAAAATCATAACCAAATGTTTTATAAAAAAAGTAATATTCTTTTATTTATATAAGCCTAAATTTTTATTTAAAATAAATAGTAATTAATAATTTAGTATTTAAGCTCAGTAAGTTTAAGAAAGATAATAAAACACATTGTAAAAAAGTTTGAAATTGTAAAGAATTTCTAAAGTTTATTCACGTCCTTCTACTGCTCCTTAAAAGTAGTGTTTTTAATAAAGATTATTTATAGGAAGAAGTAATTTTATTAAATATAAAAATTATATTTATTAAATATTAAAAAGATGGAAAGGAAAAAATTAAATATTTAGTATAATAATCTTAAAATATATATTAACAATAAGAAAAAAAAGAAGAAGTGGTTTAAAAAATGAATAAAATAGATGAAAACTAAAGTAAATATATAAGAAGTAGTTCTGCAGGAAATATAGTTTAAAATAGATTCCAAAATTAATTTTTTTAAAAATAAAAATAATAAAGATGGAAATTTTGAAAATATAAAAAATTAATAAACTTTTATTTTTTATTTATTTATTTCATTTTTTTATTTTTTCTTAATCATAATATATATTACTCTTTTTAAATGATATATAATTTTATATCTTTTTTTTTTTTTTGAGAATTTTATATATAATGTAAAAGTATATAATTTATATTAAAAATAAATATATTACTTATTTAATAAAAATCATTTTTTTTTCAAAGAAATGCCAAGAATATTTCACCGAATACATAATTATCTATTCAATAATACAAAATTAATGTTAAATAAATATAAAAATAGATATTAACCTAAACAAGCATTTAGGGTTGGACTTTCTATTTTTATTTTTTCCACAGTACTAAATGAATTAAGGAAATAATATTATTTAAAAATAAAAGGAATTGACAAATTTGAAGCTATACTTTCAGAATTTGAGTTCTAACGGAGAGATCCTTATAAGAATTTTTGGCAGTCGTTTAAAAATTTATATAATGATGATTTAAGTACTCCTGTTGGAATTATATGTCCGAATTGTAGCGAAAGGGTGTAAAAAATATTCAAGAATGTAAAAAAAAGTAATTTAGGAATAATTATTTGTGACAATTATACTGATTTTTCATAAGAATTCAATCTTTAAAAAGACTTGAGAGTGAAAAATCATTATTTAGTTTTAAATCCGAAAAATTTAAGGAAATTTTCTATTAATTAAGGCAAAAGAATTGCAAGTGCAGGAGTTGGTTGGAAAATACACGAAATAAATCAAAAATTAATGGAATATGGATATTATTTACCCTTAAATCCTTATTTTAATAAAAATACGATTTTCGAACTTATTAATAAAGATGAAGGAACCGTAAATCATCAAAAATATAAGTTTTTTAAAAATTTGGTTAGTAATGTTCTTCTTTTTTTACCGAATGGTGATTCTTAACTTGGAATTAATACATTGGGGACTGGAATTAATATAAAGGAAATGTTCTTTGGATCTAATGGGAATATGGCATTTCCTACTGAGGTTGACTTAAATATTGTTGAAATGCCTCAAAATTATAACAAATTAACTTTTTAATTACAAGAAGAGTGTTCTTGGACATAATTATTTTATATAATGAAAAATTTGAAAAAATATCCATTTTAAAATAAATCGGAAATTAGAATTAGTAATAATGAAAAAAAAATTGTTATTTCAGAAGAAGGTGATGAATTTATTAATTAATAGGAGTTAATAAATAAATGGAGAAAAAGAATTCTAAAAGGAGAGTTTTTGGAATAAAATTTAATTTAGAATGTTTCTGTTTAAGATTAGTTCCCTAAATATAAATATTCTTAAGTAAATGATAAAAATGAAAAGTATGATATTTAATTTAGCTTTATTTTCTAAAATAGGGAATTTTTTATTGAGGCTGATAAAGTTTTGAATTTTTTGAAAGATTAGTAAAAACTGATAAAAGATTATAAAATAAATTTAGAGTTTAATAATTAAATTATTGATTTAAAGATTAATTATAATGAAGATTATTTAAAAAACAATAAAGATGATATAAATAATTAAAATTAGTATTATTTTGGGAAAAAGCTACTTAGTCAAGTTCTTAATAATAGAGGTTAAGTGATTTATTGTAGCGATTTCAAATTAAAATAATATTTTTAGAAATCTTTGCTTTTCTTAAATTATGGAATGAATGGTTCTTAACTTTAACTTAAATTATCTAAATATTTTGACATAAATAATATCTTATATAACCCTCTTTTTATGATGAAAAGTTATTTGACTGAACTTAAATGAAAAAACGCTTTCTTCAAGATCAAATAAAAAATAATACATTTTATATTTTATTTTTTTAATTATAAATTTTCATTATTATTATTATATAGTTTTCTTAACAAATTCATTTAAAATTGTATGAATTTCTTCTTTTTCTCCAATTTTTATAACTTTTTTTCCTTAATCTTCCATTATAGTTTCAATATTAGTTTTATCATCTTCAAACCATCCTAAATTATCAGCAATTAAATGCAAACTATTACAGCCTTGACATCTAACTAAAACAACTCCCTAATCATAAGATCTTTAAGTAAATGTCCTTGCTGCTTTGGTTTCACATACAGTACAAGTAAACATCATCATTAATAAGCCTTCTTATCCGTTCCCTTTAACTCCTTTAATCTATTCTAATTGGTAACTAATTGAATTTTCACTGTATATTGCTGTAACATTTCCATTTTTCATTTAATAATCTTTTACATTTAATTAATCTGGTGCTGCATGATCGTGTCCGCAATAACTATGATCATGGTCACATTAACTATGATCGTGATCATGTAAATGATTATGATTGTGATTGAGTTGATGATGACTGTGCCCACATTAACTATGGTCATGATGATCGTGATGGCTAGCATGATTATGCTTATTATTATGATCAGGGTGGTTACATTATTCGTCTTATTTATGGTTTTATAAATCATTAGGATTTTAATTTTCAGGTTGATTGTTATTATTTGGGGGTTTGTTTGTATTTACAAAATTGTAATTTAAAAATTTATTTGTAAATGATTTGTTTAATTTTAAAGTTTTTTAATTTTTTATTTACTTAAAACTTAATTTGATTAACTACTTATAAAAGCTTTACATTTTTTTTTTTGTTTAATTATTTTTATTATCTTAGAATTTTAATTTATGTTTTTATTTCTTTGATTTTTCTGAAAATAAATTTATACTTTTTTTAAAAATTTTAAATTAAATAATAATATATAGCTAATTTAATAACTAAATAATTACAATGAATATATATATATAAAATTTATATAAATATATATAAAGAAAACTAATTTTTATAAAAATAACAAAAAAAACTAATTTTCATTCTTTCAATAAAAGTGAGAAACAAATTGAAGTTTAATTTTCCCTATCAATACTAATACCAACCAAAGAATCGCATTTGGAATAAATTTCATTTTTATGTGAAACCATAATTTTTTATTTTTATTAAAGTATATTTTTCAATGCATCAATAACATTAACAGTATTAACTGAATCTAATGAAGCCTCAGCCTCATCTAAAATTAAAAAAGGTGAACTTTTGGCAAGGGCTAAATAAAGTGCCATTTAAGCTATTGCCTTTTCTCCTCCACTGAGTTCTTTTTCAGGATTAAGGGAATAAGTTTTGTTTGGAGGACAACAAAAATAATTAATTCCTCCCTTATATTTTTCTTCTTCATTACTAACAGTAAGATCTACAGTGCCTTTTTGTCCTTGTTTTTTCCTGGAAGTTTTGTTAATTCACCGTAATATAGTTTGACTAAATTTTATACATTTTTAAAAAATTCATCAAATATTTCTTTTCTTTTATTTTTTAGTATTTTGAACTTTTCTTCTTTCTCCTTTTTTTAGGATAAAAGCTCACCTAGTTTTTACTTTAATTATTCTTTTTTTTCCTTTAGATCATCCCCCATTACTTACTAACCTGGATATCCACCAAGAAGTCCCTCAGTAATTTCTTTAGAAGCGTATTCTTATATTTCATCCCTTTTCTTTATAAGATTATTTTCTAGAGAATCCTAATAAGAATTAAGTAATTTAATATCTATATTATCAATCAAATATTAAATTTTACTTTTTCCGATTTCCTGTCCATATTCTTCTTAAAATTCGCTTTTTTTTATTAATAAATCTTTATCTTGGAATAAAGGTTCATATTCTATAATATCTAGTTCTTCTATTTTTTATTTGATTATTTCTTAAAAATTTTAATCGTCATCTTCTTGTGAAAACATTTGTAATTGGAATTAACTTTTTTTTATTTCTTTATCTTAAAAGACTTCGAAAATTTGTTTTATTTAAGACTCTTGGATTTATTGTTCCTTTTTTTCAAAAAGAAGTGAAAAAGAATGTTTTAGTTGAATTTTCTACTTTTGTAGATTTTTAGTTTTTGTAATTAATTCTTGATAAAATTCGTCATTTTAAATTTAAATTTCTTATAATTTTCCCTTTAGTTCATTTAATTCTTCTATTTTTTTTTTAAAGTTTTTATTTTCCTTTTCTTTTAAAAATTATTTTTCTTATATTTACTCTTTATAAATTTCTTACGCCTTTTAATAATTTTCCACATTTTCATTATAACTTTTTAAAGCTTAATTAGTTTTTTAATTTTTTTATTCACATTAGTTTATATTTTCTTATATTTAGTTAATTTTTAATTATTATTTTTCTACGTTTTTGAATATTCTTTCCACATCTTCAGCTAAATTATTAGTTAGATCTTTCATTTCGATTTTATGTTTGTTAGAAAATTACATAAAAACATCTTGTTTGATTTCACAAATTTTATTTTAAACATTATTGATATTATTTTCGATTTCTTTTATTTTTTCTTCATATTTTTACACTTCTAAAGAATTTTAAGATAAATTAGAAACTTTTTTTTATTTTTATTCAATCATATTTATTTTTAATGAAATAATATTTATTTCATTTTTTTCGATTTCAATATAATGGTCTTATTATTATAATTCTTCAAGTAATTTATTATATTCTTTTTCTCCACTACCTTCTTTTATTTACTCTATTTATTAAATTAACAAATTAATTTATTCTTCAAGTTTATTAATTTAATTTTAAAATTATTAAATTTCTTTATCTGTTCCTATTGTTTTTTTCAAATATTACTATTTATCTCCACTTGAAGTAATAGAATTATCATTTGAAATAATATTTCCGTCTTTAGTAATAATTTAAAATATTTATTTTATTCTTTTTTTTCTTAATTCGAATGCTTTCTCAACAGAATCAGTTACTAATTTTCCTCTTAATAAATATAACAAAACATTCTAAATTTAAGTCTAAAGTTTGTTATTTTCATTATATTTCATATTCTATATATCTATATCTATGTATTCATAAATATTTTCAGCTAAACTATTCATTTAAGTTTTACTAATTTTCACATGTTAATATTCAGGCAAGTTTTATAATATCATTACTTCCTTAGAAATACCTTTTTCTTATAAAACTATATTCACTATTTGCGCAGTTTATAAATTATTAACTACTAAGCAATCTAAGTTATTTCCTAGAGCTACTTTGCAAGCTAATTCATAATTTTTGTTAGTACATCTTATTAAGGAGCCAAATTCTCCATAGAAACCTTATATTTTTTATAATTCTCTATATATTTTATGTTAATTTTAAACTTCTTAAGAACTTTCTATTTCTAATTCACTTTTTTTTTTTTTTTTTTATTATATATATATTTTTTTACATTAAATATTTTTTATCATTTAAAGTGTTTAATTAATTTTCCAAATTTTCCAATTTTTAATTTTATTTTTGTCTTTCATCTTCATTTAATTTTAGTTTTTATTTTTATTGTTTATTTCGTTCTATTAAGTCTTTAAGTTTGAGCTCTTTTTACATTTTAATATTATTTTATTCTTCAATTTTATTTTATAAATCTTAAATTTATAAATTAGACTTATTAAAAGCTTCCAATTCAATTTTTAATTATTAGTTTGCATTTATTAAGTCTTAACTTAGTTTTTTTAATTCTTATTAAAAAGTAAAAGTTTACTAATTACTTATTTTAAGCAAATTTTGATATTCTTCGTAGTTTTATTTTATTTTTTTATTTTCAATTAAGCTTTTTATTCTTTCTTAAGATTGCATTTCTTTTAACTTAATTTCTTCTTTATCGAGTTCTTCTTAATATTTAGCAATCTATTGATTTCCTTATTAAATTTATTAGTTAAGATTATTTACAACAGCCTTATTTTCTTAAAAAACAGGAACATTTTTGAATTTTTCTTCTTCGATTTGCATATCGTTTTGAATTTAGGATAAAGCTTATTTAATAATTTAAAATTCTTGCTCATTTTATGAAATCTATTATTTAAGAGATTTAATTTTGGCATCGTTTTATTGAGATTTAATTTAAAATTATTTTTTTTATTAAGCCTACATTTCCAATTATTAAGAATTTGATTCTTAATTAATCAAATTTTCGTTTATTTCTTAATCTATTTTAGCAAAATAACACAAATCGATTTTAGTTTACAAATTTCTGATTTCATCATTTAATTTTTGGTATTTTTCATTTTATTCGTTTATACTTTTTAACTTTATATCTTCTTTTTTTTGACTTCTTTATTATTAGACAATATTTAATATTTATTGGTTAATATTTTTATATGTTCTTCTGTTTAATCATATTCACCTTTATAAATTAGACTTCCGCAAGCTTTTCAAGTAATGTGCTCATTTCCATTGGATCTTTTTTATCAATTTATCTGATTCACCTTAAAGCATAAAAACTTCAGGACCAATTTTAAATGTAGCTAGCTAATCAATATATTCTTCTTCTGTTATTTCATTGTTATTATAATAATATATAAATTGCCTTTTTCTTGTCTGTAATCTTCTAAAACTAACAATAGTATTTTTTTATTCATCAGTATATAAAAAAGCTTCTACTGAACATTATTAAGGGCGTTATCCATCTTTTAATGAACTTATGGGATTATGGTTTCTTGCATTTTCTACATTAAATACAAAACAAAGAGAATCTATTATATTACTCTTACCACAGCCATTAGGTCCTATTATTGCAGTAAGATTCTCAAAAGGGCCTACTTAGTGTTTACCGCGGAATGATTTGAAATCAGTTAATTCTAAATAATGAATTTACATTATTATTTTTTATTAAATAAAAATTTATGAATATTTTTTTTAATTTAAAAATTAAGAAAAAAATAAATTTAAAATTTAAAAATGTTAAATTGAAAATTAGCAAAAAAAAAAAATCAAATTATTAGTATTTTTTAAAATATGTTTAATTAAAAAAAATAGTAAAAAAATAATTAGATATGTAAAATAATAAAATAATATAAAAAACATTATTATTTTATATATTTTTATTTTTTTAAATAATAATATAAATAACTTAAAAGTTAACTTAAAATAAAAATAAGCATATATATAAAATAAAAATTATATATATAAAATTATAAAATATATATCTAAAATTTATATATATATATATTTTATATAATATAAAAAACTATAATATTTTTATTTAAATTTTTTTTTCTTTAATTATTTTTTTTTTATATTTATTATATTTTTTTTTTAAATATTTAGTTTTTTAATTTAATAAAAATAAATATTATACAATTAATTAAATTTTTTTGATATAATGAGTTAATAGCCGCATATGAAACAAGTTGGAAATTACTTGATTTTTTTAAATAAAAAATTAGGAGAAGGATAATACGGAATAGTTTATGAAGCTAAATATAATAATGAAAAAGGCTCTAAATAAAATGAAACAAAATATGCAGTAAAAGTAATTCCAGCATCAGTATTTTAATCAAATATATCTAATTAATAAATGCTTTAATAAGAAATTGGTGTATTAAAAAAACTTAAACATGAAAATATAGTTTGCTTAATAGAAATTTAATAATCAACAAATAATTTATATCTTTTTTTAGATTATTGTAATGGGGGTGATTTAAACGATTATATTATGCAAAAAGAATACTAAAGACTTTCTGAAAGTGATGCTGTTGATTTTTTTTGGCTAAATGGTAAAAGGATATTAATATCTTTATTCATAAAAAATTGTACATAGAGATCTTAAACCAGAAAATTTAATGCTTCATAATGGTTTTTTTTTTAAAAAAATAAATAAATAAATATAAAACTGAATAAAAATATTCTATTTATTAAAGATATTTTATTTTTATTTAAAATATTAATTATATATATATATATATATATATATATATATATATATATATATATATATATATATAGGAAAAGTTAAGATAGGAGATTTTGGATTCGGAAGATTTGTTGAAGGGGAAATGGATATATAATAGAGAATGTCAATAAAATGTACTCCAATTTATGCTTCACCTTAACTTTTAAATAAAACTAATTATTCCTCTAAATGCGATATATGGAGTGCCGGGTGTATTTTTTATAAAATGCTATATGGATAATATCCTTTTGTTGCAAAAGATTTAAATTCTTTAATTAATTCTATTAAAAAAAAAGTAGTAAATGAGGAATTTTAGTTTCCAGAAATACCTTTTGTAAGTGATGATGTAAAATAATTAATTCGAAAAATGCTTAAATATGAGGAAGCTGATAGAATATCATGGGATGAGATATTTAAACACCCTTTGATGTAAAAATAATATAATATTTTAGAAAATAACGAAGAAAAATTAGAAGATAGTGATAGGAATAATGCAGTTTTTTAAAGTATAATTTAAAACAGAGACTAAGTAAAGGATAATGTAGTTACTGATTATGCAAATAATTTCAAAAGATTTGCTAATTAAGCTATTTAATAAGATTTTGAAAAAAAATACAATATAGTATAATAATAGGATGTTAAATAAATATAAGTTCCTAAATAAGAAGAAGAAAAAAAGAATTAGAAAATAATAATTTATAAACAATTAATACTTAATTTAATATTCCATTAAAAAAAATACTTTAATAATAATAAGAAAAAAATAATAATAATACAGGAAATTATTTAAATTTAGACTTGAAAGATATTGAAAATAATAAAGTAAAAAATGTAGATAAAATGATACTTTTTATGAGAAACTAAGCCCTTTTTTCTGACGTAACAATGTAATTAATTTTTACTTCAAGAAAAACTTATAAAATATCAAATATTTTATTCTATGATGTGATTTTTTGCTTAACTGGTTGCTATAATTTAAATTTAGATATATTAAATATGATTTTATAGTAAAAAGTGTAAATTAGATTAGTTAAATAGGAAGATTTCGATTTATATTTAAAAAGTGAAGAATATTTGTAAACTAAAGAAAAAATAGAAAAAGATGCTGTTACAGCTAACAATTTTTTCTAATCATTAACTAAAGGAGTACTGAAAGAAACTAGTAAGCATTTAATAAATGATCTTACTTATTAAGATTCTAAAGATTTGGAAGAATTTATTAAATCTTAACCAAGTAATACTTATAGCTTTAAATCAAGATTATAAGGTAAAGCGAAGAATTTTATTAATTAAATTAATATTAGTAATTTATAAAATGAATTAAATGCTTTAAGGGGAATCAGGTCTTTATAAATATTTGTCAAAATGGATAAATATATTCCAATTTAAAATTATAGCAAATTTGATTTTAGATTGTTTTATGATAATGAAATTAATAATTTAAATTGTGGATAATTATATGATAAAATTTTAAAAGAAGGTGATATATGATATTTATTATTTTTACTAATTTTAATTATTTTATTTTTTTGTCAAATATTAGTATATTTTTTCAAATTATTATATTTATTTATAATTTTTTTTATTTTTAATAAAAAAAAAATTAATTTTTATTTATATATTATTATTAATATTAATTATTAAAAATAAATTTTATAATTTTTATAGCCAAAGTTGGTATAAGTATATCAGAATATAAACCTAGCTATCATTAAACAAGTAACAGTAATAAAAAATATAGTATAATAAATATTTAGTTTTTTACTTAATCTTTTATTAAAAATATAGCTAATTTTTAAAAAATATTAATAAAAACTTAAAATTTATATAACAAAAAAAAATACTTGTTTTTTACAGCGTAGATAATTATATTAATTAAATTAAATAAATTAAAAATTAAAACACTAAGTACAATTAAGTTATCAAATGTTTATTTAGCATTCTATCCATTAAAGAGCTTTATATGTATACCATGCCTATATTTTTTTACTAAAATTAAAAGAATTATTATATTTTTACTTTTAAGTTTTAAATATTAAAGCTATTCCAAAACCTATATAACTTATAAATACTTAACCTGCAAAACAACCAGAAAGAGCCATTATTCCAAATCCCATTTTTGCTAATTATGGGTTTGTAAAGAAATCTTTTTGTTTTTTAAATTTTTTAACAAAACAAAAAATAATATATTTTTACCACCTAAAGAGTTACCAAAAGCCAGAAATGTCATCCCTAGATAAGCTTTATTTATATTTGTAATCAATTAAATTAACTTTTTAATTTATATAATATTTATTAAGTTTATATATTTTTTTTAATTGAACTTTGAGAAAATCAACTAAAATTTAAGCTGCTGTTGAAATAAAAATTACTGAATTAACAAATCCTAAAAGTGAAAAAAAGAATATATTATTTGGTGTTTTCGATAAATGAGTAAACTTCCAAACAGTAATAGATAAACAAAAACTAAAAATTAAAGAAACAATTGCTATATGAATATCATATATTTAACTTTGAATATCTTTTTTTAAAAAAAATAAAAAGGTTTTTTTTAGTAAATCTTTTTTTACTCTCTGTATAACATAAAATGAATAAAGGAGATGTAAAGCAAATAAATATAGCTTGCCATTTATTCCATTTATCACCTTCTGTTTTCAAAATCACCATATCCCTTATAAAGTTTATAGGTAATTCATAAATAAAATAAAGCTTTTGCCACCAAACCATTTCAGTCCATTATAAATCAAACCTAGTAAAAGTTGATTTTATTTTTTATTTTAAATTTATGTAGTTTTGGTTGAATTTATTAGAAATAGATTTTCTTTTAAATCTTTTTTAAAAATATAGGTTTTGCATATTTTTATTTATTACAAACATAATTAACTTGAAATCATAATTTCACTTTAAATTGTTGACTGAGAAATCTTTATAAATAAGCAATTTGTAAAAAAAAAAAAATTAAATATTAAAAATACTTATTTTTCATCAATTAAGCCATTATATCCCTTTTTATATAATAATTTTAGTCAGAAAATGTTTAATTTTATAAATTTATATATAAAAAAAAAAATTATAAAGTTTACCTCATATTTTACATATTAATTTTAAAGATATTAAGTTAAATTATCTCTTAAATATTTTAATATTATTAAAATAAAAATAGCAATTACATAAAAAAAAAATATACGATGTTTTAAATGGCTCATCACAACCATTAAATTCACTAAATATATCTTCACTAGGCTAAATAATTTAAAATCCTTATTAATATTATTCATATTGCAATTCTTTTTCATCAACAAAACTTTAGAATTTGCAATTATTAAATTTATTTTACCATTCTTAAAAAAAAACTACTGTAATAAATCTAAAACGTAAAAAAATATTATGGAAAATATTATAAAACGCAATATATTTTTTTATAAAACGCTTTACTAAAAAAAATAAATTATTTAATTACATTATATATATTCCTATAAATCCAAAAGCCATTGCATAGTTTACAAATCCAATCAAAGTATATACAATAATAATAAAAGTTCCAAGTGTATAAAACCCTATATCTCTTAAAAATATATGCTTAACAGCCCTTATTTGGTTACTTTAATTTATAACTCTGCCAAAAATAATAGTATTTACAAATAAGCCAGCTCCAAAAACACTTCCTATAGCAATGTAAATACCTTCCGAATCTTAACTTCCTCCGGCAATAACTGCTGTAAATAAATCTGCTGCTCCGTTTCCTAATGCAAGTAAAGTTACCCCTGCAAGTGTTTATGAGAAACCTAAAAAATCTGAAATTTTAGAAAGAGAAGGAGATAAATATTTTTCTGCTGTTGACGATAAAAGATGGAAAGCAAATATTGTTACAAAGAACTAATTTTTTTGTTTTTTTTTTTTATTATTATTTAGTTTTTTTTACTGAAAGTATTATTAGTAATATTATATTTTCATTCATATCACAATAATATAACTAAATAAAATTTATAAATTCTTCATTTTTGCAATAATTCTAAACAAAAGAACATTTATCTTGTTAATTTTTAACAAACTATAATGAGCATTGATCCATTTTACTAATATTTAAAAAAATTAACTTATAAATAAATTAATAGAAGATATATTTTAAATTTAATTAAAATTAATAATATTTTTATTTTATTTATTTTTTTCAAAAAATTCTTTTAAATAATAATTTAACAAATTTTAATAATTATAAAAAATAAAATTAACAATATTTTTTTATTGAAAAACACTTTTTTATTTTTTAATTATTATGATAATAATTATTTTTTTATTATTAGAATGCGTCATAAATAAATTTTAATAATTAAAATTAATATTTTTTAAGTAAATTCTTTAATAAGATTATAATTAAAAACTAAATTAAGTAAACTAACTAATAATTTTTTGTGTTATTTTTAATTTTTAAAAAACTAAAAAATATATTCTATAATTTATATAAATATAGATTCATTTACAGTCGAAAATAAAAAACAAACTATATATTTATATTAGAGAAATAATTAAAACGTATTATTCTTTAAACAAAAATTAAAAATAATAATTATATATCTCTCTTTATTTTTATTTTTTTTCTAAAGAAAATATTAAATCAATTCAAATTGTATTTATTATTATATGTATACGTATGATAAGCAAATTACGTAATACATATATTATTATTAGTCTTATTAAAAGTATTTTTTTTTTATTAAATAAAAGAAAAGAAAAATAAAAATTAAAAAGATCTAAATAAAATATCTACATAAAAAAAATGAATAAAACAATTACTTGGATAAATAAAACAGGTCTTTTATATTTAAAAATGCATATATGACGTTTTTATCAATAAAAATATAGAGGGAAGAGATAAATTTTGTAAGGCTATTTAATACGGATCAAGATTCTTAAAATGGCATTTCACTAATACAGGAAACAAGGATATGAGTGAAAGATTTAACGGGCTTTTTGGTAAAAAATAATTGATCATATAATAAGTAAATTGTTTTATTAATAACAGGTGGAATGAGAGATGCAAGAAAATTATTTAGATTATTCAAAACTATAAACGAATGTCACAAAATAATGGAATTGCTCAAAAAGAAAGATGATGATGACCTTAATAAGACTTTGGCAATTTTATAAAGAGCGTTTTTCGGCATGTTTTGGTTCTTCGATAATTTAGTTATTTTGAAACAACTTAAGTTTTTGAAAGGAGACCATAAACCTAATAGCAAAACAGGATCAACTTTCTGGTTTTTAGCTTTAATTTGTGCTGTTGTATAGAATGTGAGAAATTTACTCAAAAATTTGTAAAAATAAAGCGATACTATCTAAATTATCTTAAATACTTAAACATAAGAATAAAATGATAAAGCATAATTATAATTAATCTAATTAAAAAAATAAACTTCCGAAATCTATCTTAATATAATTAAATCAGTTGCTGATATGATAACCGCAGGATAAGGTATTTAATATTATATTTTTATTATATTTTTATTTTTTTATCTTAGCTGCTTAATTATGGCCTAATTTATTAAAGAAAAATGCTAACGATGGGTTATGTGGTATTGGTGGTCTTATTTCATCTGTTATAACATCTTATTAATTATTTTGAAAAATAAAGAAAAAAAAAAAAATATATATATATATATATATATTTATTTTATTTAATTATGATATTAAGAATATATTTAATATATATATTATTATAAATTATTTTTTTACATTGATTTTTATTAATTTTATCGTTTATTATTCAAAATTATTTTAATATTAATTATATTATTCAAACTAATAATAAATTACTTTTAAATCTATAAAAATATAAACAATTATATTTTTTAAAATATTTATTATAAATATATATACATAAAATTAAATGAGTTATCATAATGATAATAGCAATCATCATAGCCTTAAATTAATTAACTAAGCTAAAGAAAAAAAATTTATAAGTTTTAAAAGAAATAATAATAAATCTTATGATTAAAATGAAAATAAGCAAGTATAATTTATAAAAAAATAAATATTCGTTTTATAAAATAAATTTATAAAAATAGAAAATGTATTTAATAATATAAAAATTATAAGAAGAAAATAGTGAAAAAAGCATAGCAATTAAAAAAGTTACTTAAATTATTGATGTATTGAGTAAAGATGTAAAATATATATATTGTTAATTTCTAAGTAAAATTAATAAAAAATATAGCTTGAAAATGCTACAAATAAATTATAAAAAATGGATGAAAGTAGATAATATTTAAAAGAGTAAAATAAGTCATTAATTAATTAAAATTAAGATTTAAATTAAAAAATTTAAGCATTAAATGATTAATAAAAAAATAAAAGCAGTGATAAATATGAAGAAGAAAATGAATTAATTAATAAAATTATAAAATAATATGAATAAATAATCGAAGAAGAAAAAACAAAATATTAAAATTTAGAAAAAAATTTAGAATTATCTAATTAGTAAATTTAATAATTAACTAAATAATTTGAAGAAGTATTTTTTTAAAACAAAAAAAATTATATTTTTAATTAAAATAAATATATATAATAGATATAAAGTGAAAAACAAAATAAAAACTAATAATTAATTCAAGAAATTTAAAAATATAAAAACATTATATATCAAAGTAAAATTTATTTAAAAAACTATCAAATACAAAGTCTTTTAAGCATAAGTATTTAAAATAACGAACAAAATTCTAAAGATTAATAAAAATCAAAAAGAAATGAAATAGAGTCAGAATATAAAGATAATATTTTTTTTAATAGTTAATATACATTTGATAATTAATAATTTAATTAAAATTAAGATGAAATTATATAAAAGGATGATGATTTTTCTAATTTATTTGAATGCAAATTTGATAAAGTTTTAAATGAGTTTAAATATGAAATTGATAAAAGAGATATTTTTTATTAAGAAAAGAAATAGAAGTTTAGAGATATTTCGAACAATTAATTTAATAAAAATAAAATGAATATTAAGATTTATAAAATTAAATTCAAAAAATAAAAAATTTAATTGATGAATAAAATGAGAATAATATTTTGGAAAAAGTTAATGAAATTTTATTTGAAAAAAATAATTGAATGAAATGGTTGAAAAATTAAATAAGTTTAAATATAAAATTTTAGAAGAATTAAATAGTAATAGTTAATAAATTTTAGAAAACGAAGATGAAATAGTTCTTTTTATATAAAATATTAGTTAATAAAATCTAAATCTAATCAATTTTCATTAAGAATAAAATAGAAATTTGGCTTTAGAATATATGCAAGAAATCGAACAACTTTAAAATGAAATAAAAAAAAAGAATAAAATATAAATTTATTAAATTCTAATGTTTCAAATTTAGAAGTCAAACTTTAAAAAAGCAAAAATAAGCGGAAAAATCTTATTTAATAAAATTCAGAAAATATAATTACAAAAGAATAGGAATATATTTTAAATAAAAAATAATAAGTAAATATTATTATTTACTTATTAATATTTTATTTTTATTTTATATAAAAAAAGGATGAAATATAAGATTTATTAAGGGAAAAAGCTGAAATATAAGAAAGAAATAAAGAGAATAAAAATATAATAAAATAATTATAAAATTAACTTATTTTCTATGAAAATAATGAATAATATATAAACCAACTAAACAATTTTGGATAATTAAAAATGGAAAAATATAATGAAAATGAATATTGTAAAAAATTTCTAACAGAAAATACAAAAAGTAATGATTTGAATGAAAGTTTTTAGGAAGATTAATTAAGAAAAATATAAAAAAAAATTAATTAGATTATAAAAATATTTACTTAAGAAAAAATAATAAACGAAAATGATAAATATAATAATATAATTGAAAACTTAGAATTTCTATTTATTTATTTAAAAAGATATAAAAGAGATAATGAATACTTTTTAATAGAATGTACATAAACAATTATTAATAAATATGATATTTAAAATCAAACATAAAAATAAAATATTGTTTCATAATTAAATCATATATAAAATTATAGTGAAGAAGAAGATTAATTTAAAGATTCTCATTTATTAAATTTAAAAGAAGAAATTTCTAAGATATTAAAGATAGGGATTTAACTAAAATGTTCACCGTAAAACAAGTGTACTTTTAAATATATATAAATTAGAAAAAAAGATACAATAATTTTTATTTTATTTTTAAATTAATAAATAATTTTATAAATTTAGAAAATCTAAATAATTTTCTATTTTTGTTAAATTAGTTTTTATTTATTTTTCATAAAAAAAAAAATCTTAGTATTCTTATATATTTAATTATTATATTAATTTTTTTAAATAAAAATATATTTATAGCTTTATCTACAAAATAAAATCTATTATTAAATACTTTGCCGAATTCTATTTATTTTTTATACACTTCTTAAACTTAAGTATTATATGAATTTAATTAGAGAATAATATCTAGCAGTGAATATGATAGTAATAATATAATATTAAAAAATTAAGAATAATTTAAAATTATATCTTAAAGCTGGCTTAATTTTCTTAAAGACTTGTATAATGTTTTCTTTACTCTTAATGATATTTAAAATATTATTGAAAATTTAAAATAGGCTGATATTATGAGTTCTATTGTTTCATGTTATGAAAAAGTTTTATAAAATAATTCTAATTTCTAGACATAAAATTAATTCTATTCTTTAAATAATAATAGTATTAATTTAGCTTAAAACGAATAAAACTAAATTAAAAATAATATTAAAATAGCAGAAAAATATACAAGTAAATTAGAAGAAAAGGTTATAAAAAGTAACAATTTTAACCAAGTACTTAAAGATACTAAAGTAATAATTTAAGTCTTAGAAGAAAACTTGATTAAAACAGTATAAAGGTTCATTTAAACTTGCGTGGATTTAAAATAAAAATAGTATAATAAAAAAGATGTCATTAATTAAATAAATACACTTTTAATTGATCATGCATAAGTATAATAAATATTCTATTTTTAAATAAAATATTATAAAAAGGACGAGCTAATTAATATAAGAAATGCTTTAAAACTACTTGATCTATATTATTTGGCATAAATGAATGTAAATAAAAGTATATTTAGTGAAATTGGTGAAAAGAATAATTCGACTATAATTCTAATTATTTAAAAAATAAATGATTTGTCTAAAAAAAAGCAATTTATATTATCTTTTATATATAAAGAAAGTGAAAATTTAAATATTGACAAAATTATTAATTTAATGAAAGATATTTATATTTATAATTAAATACCGACTATAAATTTCTCTTTGTAAAATTTAGGTGATAGGAAATATTATTTATAAAACTAAATTTATGAATTAGCTAAAGAAAATGCAGGATATAAATTGGCATTTAATTAATTATATATGGCTTAATATAGTTTTTGAATATAAAATAAATTATTTTAAGAAAATATATTGTATTTAATTTATAAAAATATATATAATTTTATAAAGGAAATATTTAATTAATTATATAAAATATTAATATATATTAATTCATAAAAAAAATATTTTAATAGAACAATTCTTATATTTTTTTTTTATCATTATTATTATATATATACTATATAAATTATTATTTTATAATAAATTTATATTAGAAAACAAAACAAAAATGTCTTTGTTTAGTTATTGTAATTTAAAATTTCTTTTTAAAAATAACAAATAATCTTATAATTTTATATAATAATATTAAAATTTTGTCAAAACATAATAAAATATAAAGAATTTTATCAAAAATATAATTAATTTTAATATAAAGTTTTTATTCTATTTTTGCAGAGTCTTATAATTCCTAATATAAAATAATCAGTATTATTATTTATACATGCCATAAGTTGGGCTATTCTTAATATTACTTTATGTTTATGAATATGTTTTAACTGCTTTTTGTTATCTCACTTATTAAGGTATTTATGATTAAGAAATCTATGCTTAGCTTGGGATAGATGTAAAAGAAGTAGCATTAGAAACTAAAGGAGATGGAGTTCTGCCACCAGTAGCTATAAAACCAAAGTTATATTCGTGGAAATCAGACATTATTAGTTATTTATTATATTTTAGCTTTTTTAAAAAAATATATTTATTTGTAATTAATAAAATAATTATAATTTACTATCTATAATTTTGATTTAGATAAATATATATATAATTTTTTTTCTTTTTATTAGAAAAATCTACTAATTGCTAATTTTATATGTTTTAATAATTATCATAAAAAATTATATTATTATTTATACAATAAAAATTTAATATATTATTATTTAAGTCTATTTAGATATAAACACAATATTTTTATTTAATTATTAAATATTAAGCCCAATATATTTATATATTAAATTAATCTAAACATTAATGCATATACTTATAAATTTAGTTTTTTAAATTAATGTATTTTTAATGTATATAATATAAAATAATTTTAATTTTATTTGTATATTATAATTATTAATTATTATTATTTTAATACATAATCATATATTTTATGAATTTCTCTATTTTATTTGAAAATTACTTTTTAATAGAAATTTATTTATCTTGTTTTTTTTTTTTTTTTCAATCAAATCTATTATTCCCTTTATCTGTTACGAACTTTACTCATTTCATTTAAATTTTTAATTTCAATCTATTCCAAATCATATAAATTATCTTTGTATTTTTCTCTAATATCATTTATATTTTATATTTCCTTTTTACCTATTAACCTTGGAATTTAATATGTTGTGAACATTGAAGGGAATGTAATTATTGAAATATTCCAGGCTAAACTTCTTAAGTTTCCTTGATGATTGGTTATATATATTCTTGATTTCTATGCCAAAAATTTAAAGAATATTAAAGAAATAATTAATGTGCCATATTTATATCCAAACATTTTATGAGTTGCTTATAAATAGGTAATTTATTCATTTTGTGTTAAAAGCTATTTTGCTTCTGCTAATAATACTAATTTACGGTTTAAATAGTTTATGTTTTTAAAAAATAATTCTTTTTCTTTGATTTAATCCATTTTTATTTTTTTGTATTTTAAAATTATAAAATATAAATTTGGTTTTTTTTTTAAAATATAAAAAATTGTATTTTTATACTTCAAACATAAAAAAAAATTATGTAAAAAATAATTAAAAAATAAGTAAAATAATTTTTATTATTTAATAAAAAAATAAGTTAACAAATTTTTTATATTCATAAATAATTTTTATATTTCGCATAAATTAATAAAAAATATTATAATAAAAAATAAAAAAATGCCTCCAAAAAAAGCAAAGAAAGTAGACCCAGAAGTATTATAATAATAATTTGATTAATGGAAATCTTCTCCTGAATATGAATAAATTAAAAAAATGGCCTTAATACTTGAAGAATAAAATATTACAGAAACAACAAAAGATTTTACGGGTGAATGGTACCCTTATCTTAATTAATTATATGATTTTTTTAAGTTTTATAAAGTATAAAATATTATAAAATAAAAAATAAATAATAAATTTTAATAAAAATAAAAGATTAAAACAGGGAAATTAAAAGAGTTTAAGCATGAATAAATAAGAAGTACTTTTTTCGCTTAAAAAGACGAAGAAAACATAAAATATTAAGTTGATGGAATTTATTGTGGTGTAGCAAGGGAACACTAAGATAATAGTTATCATTGTAGACATAAATTTGTAAAAATCATGAATTATATTAAAGAATTAGATGATCTAAATCCTGAGACTTTATAACCTTAAAAAAAGTTAGTGATTGGATTCATGAAAGAATTTATTTCATTTTTTTAAAAACATATTAAAAATGACCATGATTTAATATATAATAAGTAGTTGGTACATTTTTTTATTAAAATAAACTATTGATATTTTTTAATTAGGCTATGACGCTTTAACCACTAACAAATTTGATTGATATAAATAATTAGTATAAGAAGTTTAATATTACTTTTGTTCCAATAGTAGAAAAAGTAGTCAGAAATTTTATGAGCAAAGTTATAATAGATAAATATATAGATTACTTATAAGAAATTTTTCGTATATTATGGGAAGTAATTAATAGTTAATTTATAATATATTTATGTATTTTAGGAATATCAATAACCTATAATTCCTATTTTACCTGATTGCCATAGACTATTTTATAAATTATAACTTCAATATGATAAGGAAAAAAACAAAATAGAAAGCCTTTATTTAAATCCTTTACATTCATGCTTTAATGAAATGTCTAAAACACTTTTAAATTTACAAGTTTATGGTATTAACTATTGGAAAACTCCTTTAAATTAAAACACTAAATTAATAGATGATATTTAAAACTTAATCAATGCTGATATTATTGCTGAAAAATTACTTGGAAATCCTTTAAAAAGAGATTAACTTAATTTTGTTTATCAAGTAGTAGGATTAATAGCTGAAAGTGATGAAAAAATAAAAGAAAATTTACTTAATAGAGATGAGAATATAACCAGTAAAGCCATCCCACTTCTTATTATCTTCAAGTAAATTTAAAGGATGCTAAAGTGGAAATTAGCTAAAAAAGAAAGGGAGGAATAAATGAGAGTTCAAAGCGAAAAATTACAAATTTTAACTTAATTAAAGAATGAAGAATCATTAAAATCTCCTTTAAAAATAAGAGAAGAAGAGAAAAAAATATGGATGGAATAATAAGCTTTATTATTAGAATAATAGAAAAAATTAGAAGCTTCTTTACCACCTGCTAAAAATGCAAAAGGATCAAAAGGATAGAAAGGATCAAAAAGTTAACCTCCTGCTAAAAAAAAAGAAGACAAAAAAGATGCTAAGAAAGATTCTAAAGGAAAAAAAAATCAAGACGATGCTCCTAAAGAACCTGTTAAAAAAAAAGATGTTTATATCACTCCTCCTGAATATGCAGTTAATAAATATTTAACTGATTAATTATTTTTTTAAAAATAAAGGATGTTTAAGGAGATGAAGCAATTTATGGTAGATATTTTATTTTAGAAAATTTGATGGATGAAAAAGACAGAGAAGAATTTGAATAATCTGTAGAAATGCTTAGACATGTAAATGAAGCTGTTTAACAGGATATGCAAGATTTTTATATACAGTAATATATATAATTAAAAAGTAAATATGAATTAAAAAATAAAAATATAGAATAGGATTAACAACTAAGCATTAAAAAAGAAATTAAAAAAAAATAAAAATCAAGTATCATATTTCCTTGAATTAAGCGAAAAATAAAACGCTGATATAATGATGAATGTAGTACGTCCTCCTGAAATGTGGAATTATCCAAAAATAATTGAAGAAAATCATAGATTTAGATGTATTGCTAAACCTAGTAAATGCTATGAAGATCATAGAATCGACGATATTGATAGAAAAATTAATAACTTAGCTGAAAAATTATATGGTTATAGAAGATTTACTTGGAAAGAAATTGTTGAAAGAGTTATTGATGTTTATGCGAATAAATATAATGAAAAACCGACAGTAATTGATCCTAAAGAAGATCCTAATTGGATATAACCTGACCCTTCTCCTCATGAAATTTAGGTCTAAAGAAATAGAGAAATTAAAGCTTAATAACTATAAGCTACTTAGGCTCTTATAGAAGCTGCTAAAACGTCTAGTTAAACTTTTTAATAAGAAGAAAATAAAGAAAAAGCTTAAGAAGCGAAATGATATTTGTTATTTTTTGTTAAAATATTAAATAATCTATTTTATATTTTAAATATACTTTTTGTTTTATGTAAAATTATATTATAAATATTTATTAAATAAATGTTAATTATCTTATAATTTAAAAATATTTATTAATTATTATTTAGATATAAATATTTTGGTATTACAGATACATTAAAAAAATTTATAATATTTTTTTTTTTTTAAATAGAACTTTTTTATATACTTTGTTTTTTTTTTTTTAAATATATTATATTTCTTTTTATTTTCATTTCCAGAATTTTAATTTAGATAATATACTTTGTTTTGATTAAGTTTTTTCTTTATCTTCTATTTTAGGATATTATAAATAATTATTTCCCTTTATTTATAAAATAAATATTAATATTTAATAAAATAAATATTAAATACTAAATCAAATTAGATTAATTTGCATCCAACTTATTCGATTCTAGGAGGAAAGTTCATAATTGGAATATTCTAGATTTTATTAAAGCTCAAATTGCTTCTAACTCTTTCTTCAGAGTTTTCAATTAATGATTGAATAGTTTTCTTATAAAATATTTAATAATTATTATTTTTATATATTTAATTTTACAATGCTTAATTTTCCATCAATATTTGTATCTCCCAAATTTGTTATTATATTAGTTTGATCTTCAGTTTGATTTTCAACCATTCCAATTTTAGCTTTTATTATTAAATATTTTATTTGTGAATTTAATTTTTTATTATCAGTCAAGTATCTTTATTCAACCTAAAAATGTATTTTTATATAAATAAAAAAAAATTTATATTTTATTAACTAAATTTTTGATATCTTAGAATTTTCCTTCACACATTTAATTAAAATTTTCGCATTATTTTAATAAAGATAAAGATTCAATATATTTTTGGTTAGCAAAATAAACACATGCAACATAATAACATCTTACTGCTTTATAGTAAATTTCTAAAACATCCAATTTTCTAAAATGTTCCAAATTAGGGTTTTATCTTTCTATTTCCATTATTTATTTAAAAACTTACAATATATTATCACATAATTTAATAATTTCTGTAGGCCTAATGAATTTTTATTTAAAAGCCTTTTTAGTAGAGAGGAATTCTAAATTATTAATACCGTCTTCTTTATCAAATTATTTAATTGCATTTCTAATTAAAAATGTGTTTCTTTCCAATATAAGTTTAATTTTGCTCAAGATTAAGAAATTAACAATATTTCCATATATTTCACTTTCACCTTCAGTATTGTTTTTATCATCTTTTTCTTTCAACATTACTTTTATACAATCATCATATAAACTAAATATTTCTAAATAGAGACCTTTTTTATATTGATGAAAATAAGTATCTTTATTTTATTTATATATTTTACTTAATAAGTCTTCATTATGTAAAGCTTCATTTTCTATTTAATTTTCTTTTGTTGACTTATTTTAAAATAACTTATGTTCTTATTATTAAATTTCTTTATAATAATTAAGTGCTTTTGGATGTTTAATAGGGTACTTTTGACCTCTCCATTCTACTTCAATAAAACTATTTTTTTATTCTATTTAAAGAGAATTTCGGGTATTTTATCCTTCTATTTCCATTTATTCTCCACTTTCGTTTTAATTTTTAGAATATTTAGCGACAATTTATTCTAAAGTATCCATTATAAATCCATCGTTTTATTAATGGCAGTATCTTTATATTATATAAAAAAAATTAGTTGATAACAAATATATATTTTATATACCTAATTGATTATTCAAGAAATTAAGTTTTTTCTTTATAAAAAACTGATTAGAGTGAATCAGATTTTTCAATTAACTCATTATAAATAGTTCTTGATTTAATGAAATTAACTATTGCTTTTCTCCATTCTTATCTTTCTTAAAAGTGAATTCCAGCTATATATTTTTCGTAGGCTTCGCACTCTTATTAAGTATTTGCATCTGTTCTTTATTTACAAATTCCATTTAGTAATCTAGCCCATTTTAAAGATTTAGCTAATTTTCTTTTAACATGATGTTATTTACGCGTATTAGGTTTTTTCTTGTAAAATATTTTATTATTAGTTTTATTTTTTGAAATAAATAAATAAATTACGTCTTGACTATTAGTGATAACTTTTTTAAGATCCATTGCATATGACCAATTAGCTTCTGCTTTAAATAATAAAACTTAAAGCATTTTAGAATCATTTGGTCTTTCTATTTAAATTTATTTCTTTTAAAATCTATTACTATGTGAAAATTTCAAAGCTTTTCTAATTTTTTAAACTTTTTTAATACAATATTTTCTATATCTATGAAAATCTGAATGCTTTAAACCGTTTTAACTTTAAGCAGTTTTTAATATTTAAGAAACTTTTATAAAAAAAATTATTTAATTTTCTAATTTTTTTTTTTATACATTCGAAAGTTCCGAAATGGGCAAGTTCTTCCTACATTTTTTTTTTAATATTTAAATTTTTTTTTTAATATTATATTATTTTAAGATATAAATAAGTTTTTCTTTTCTAATTTATATATTTTTATTTTTTTATATAAAATAAAAATATACGTGTTGTCTAAAATATATTAATATAAAAATATTAAAAAACTAAATTTTAATATTTACAATTACTATATTAATATTGATATCAAAAAAATAACAATATAAACATAAAGGAAAACATTTTAAAAAATCGAATTGAAAATGATAAATTTATAGATATAATAAAAATCTAGATTATTTATAACTTGCTTATAAAAAACATTTAGCAAACTTGATACTCACCAAAAAATGATAAAAAAAAATCCAAAAGTTCGTGATTTTACAAAAAATCCTTTAGTTGATGTAACATTAGAAGATGAAAAAGAAAAATTTAAGCGTGATTTAAAAACTGATGGTATAAAATTACTTTCCCAAGCGCATGAAACACAAAAACAATCAATAAAATTAGGGAAAGTATTTTTACCTGATAGAAAAAAGATTAGCTTTTAATTAAAAAAATATGCTAAATAAGCAATTGATAAAGCTCATAAACAATCATATGATTATTTATTATCAAACGAGTATTTTCAATAAAATTTAAGCGCTGTAGAGGAAAATAGGAGAATTCATGCCGATTATAAAGAATTTTAAAAGCTTTATTTTGAAAAAATGGAAACAAAAAGACTTTTAAAACTCCAAGAAAGAAGTGTTTAAAATGTTCTTTAAATAGAAAACAAAAATAATGAAAGTGCATAAAAATTTAAAAATTATAAATAAAACAAAAATGAATTATCAAATATGAGAATCGAAAGTTTTCTTTCAAACAATTCTCAAGATAATATTAAGCTTTCTTTTTTAATATAGAGTGGGTTACTAGATAATTCTAAAAATATTTAATAAATTATAAATTCCGCTTTTTCACATATCCAATCAAAAAATCATGAAAAGTTACTATTAGAAGAGCATAACTAGGAAAATAAAAATAATTTACCTTCTGTTTCAGATAAACACAATTTATTAAAAGAATTAGATTAAGATTATATTTATTAGTAAATTGCTTCCATGGGATTTGATATAACAAAAGAAGAACTTGCTTTTATAAATATGGAAGCTTTGAAAATGTTTTTTGAAGAGTTTGTAATATCTACTGAAGAAGATAAGATAAGAACTCTTACAAAAATATAATTAATAGAAGATATTAAGAGTTATGAAACATATATATTTGATAAATATAGAAATAATGACATTACACTAAGGGTAAAAGGCCGTTTATAATTTAAAGATTTGACAGAGACTGAAAATTTAAATTATATAAAATATAATATTTAAAGTCCTAAATCTCTCTTTCTAATGTAAGAAAATCTGAAAATGACACCTGCATTAACTGCTTAGACAATAACTAAATTAGCTTCATTTAAATTGGCAGGAAGCGAAGCATATTTAGCCTTAATTTAAGATTTTAATTATAGAAAAACGCTTCGAAATATATTAAATCAATGTAAAGATATGAGTCATTTTTCTTTTGTTGACTGCGTTTGGTCTTTAGGAAAAATACATAAAGATAGAACACGGATTAGTTTATAAAAAACTATTTGCAAAATTAATTGATTAATTAAAAAATGAAATAAAATAACGTATTTATTCTATTCCTTTAAAGGATATTTCATTTATGTTAAGAGGTTATTTAAGATTACATTAATTAGCTCATGATAATGAATTAACATAATTGGTAATAGATGCTATTGGGTAAAAATTTGAAGAAAATTAAGAAGAAATACGTGAGATGAGTATTTTTCATTTATAAGGTTTACTTCTGTTTTTGAGTTACTCAAAAAGTGAAAAAAGCCTAAAAATAATGCACGATATGATTTTGCCTTTATTAAATGAAAAAAAAAATATTGAATAATTAGATAATATAAGTTTATCTGAAATCGCTTAAAGTCTTATTTCTTTAGTCTCTTATAATGGACTTGCTGTTAAAAATTATTTAGAAGCCATTAATACATAAATTTAAAAAATTAATAAAGAATTGAGCACTGATAGTATTGCTGATCTTTCTATTTTATGTGCTTCTTGTAATTTTAATAATTTGGAATTGTAATAAGTATTGAAGAAAAGAGTTATTGATAATTTTAGAGAAGATAAAGCTTGCTTTGAGGATAGTATTGCGAAAGTATTATGTGTTTTTTCTTAATTCGATGTGGTAGATTAAATAAAAAAGTATGTAGATAAACCAAATACTATACATAATAGTATAGTTGATTGTATGGTAGTTTTTTCTTATTTCCCCACTCTCATTTTCTTACCAAGCTCTGCTTAATATATATTTTATAGTAAAGTATGCAAAGAAATGGAGGAGAAAAGATAAGATTTATCTTCAAAATGGCTTTCTCTATCTATTTTTGGAATTTCTGCTGTATAATATAGAAATGCTTAATTTTTGGATGAATTATGTTGTTAGATTTTGCAAAAAGATAGTAAATTTTTGAACGAGTACGGCTTAGCTGTATTTTCTTATTCTTAAATGAAAAGGAGGAATATTTATTTTAGAAAACTAGTGGAAAAAATAAGAGATTTATATATGGGTGGATAATTCATTTAGGCAACTCCTTTAATGTGGGTTTAATTTTTCAATTCTCTTTCTAATATTTGTGAAAACGACGAACTTGATTCTTTAGAAAAAGAGTTTGCGGAAATTGTTTATATGGATAAAATTTAAAATTCAATTGAAAGTTTAACTTAAAATATGCTAAACTCTTTATTTTTTAGTTTTTCAAGGCTAAATGTTTAATTAGATATTTTAAAAGAAATTTAATAATTTATTAATGTTAGTGATTTGAATAATTACTAAATTTACTTATATAATATTTCTTTGAAACTTCAGAATGAATTAGATTATAATTTATATGGAAGTATTTTTATTGAGAAAATTAAAGAAGTCGAAATTTTTATTCGATAAGCAGTTGCATAAAAATAAGATAATTATGGAAATTAAAGATTTAATTATGATTAAGTTTTGTAATAAATAAAAAATTTGATTTATCTCAGTTTTCCTAGTGATTAAGATATTATTTTAAAAACAAACTATTTGCATCCTCAACTAAATATTAATATTGATTTATATTTACCTGATCTTAATATTGCTATATTCTTGTACTCTTTTGAACATTTGTTAGTTATTTAAGATGAATAAGGGGATATTTTAAGTGACACTACCCTTAGTGGATTATTTTAGGTAAAGGAATAAATTCTAAAAAAAGAAGGAATTGAAATAAAAAGAATTTTTATATAATAATTTAATAAAATTGGTATAAAAGAAACTATAGAAAATGAAAAAAAATTAAAATAATAATTTATAATATAATTATTAAATTAAAAATAATATAATATATAAAAATAATAATAATTATGAGATATTATATAATTTTAAAAACTAAATAAAATACAATTAATTTATATTTTTTTTTATTAAAGCATTTTTATTTATTTTATTTTATCAAATAAAAAAATCTTATATTCAAAGATAGAAAAATAAACTTTTATTAAAATGAGTATATTAAAAGAAGAAACAAAGGAGCATCCTTTACATGAATTCAAATAAATAATAACAGCATATAGAGAATGCAAAACATAAGCTTAAGAAAGAGAACTAATTAACAAAGAAAAAGCCGAAATTCGAGAAAGATTTTTAGTATATTTTATATTATAAAAAGATATATATATATATATATATATATATATTTTAAAAAATAAAAGCAAAATAAAGAAGAAACAAGAGCAAAAGATGTAGCTAAATTACTTTATATTTCGATGTTGGGACATGACACAGAATTCGGATAAATGGAATGCTTAAAATTAATAACCTCTTCAAATTATGGTAATAAAAGAATTGGATATTTAGGTTTATGCCAATTATTTCATGAAAATTCAGAAGTATTGATGCTTGCAACAAATAGAATTCATTTAGATTTAAATCATTCAGTAAGTTTATTTATATATTCGTAAATAAAAATTATATGTAAATAAAAATATAAAGAACAATTATGTAGTTTCTTTAGCACTTGTTGCTTTAAGTGAAATTTGCACAGCTGATATGTGCAGAGAACTCTTCCCTGATGTTACTAAGCTTTTCGGGAAAACAAGTACTTATATAAAGAAAAAAACAGCCTTATGTTGTGCTAAAATAATTAAGAAAATACCTGAAGTTAATTATGATTTGATTGAATATATTGATAAATAAATGGAAGATAAGCATCATGGTATTATTTACTAATTTTCTAAATTTAATTTTTTTTAGGTGTACTTTTAAGTACAGTTAGTTTAATGAAAACATTAGTTTTATTAAATGAAGAAAACAAAAACCATTTTTACAAACATATTGATACTTTAAAGAAAATTTTAAAAAGCTTAATAAGTATAATGAGTACAGAATTTGAAATAGACGGAGTCAATGATCCTTTTCTATAAAATGAAATACTTTCGTTTTTCTGTATAATGGCTAAAAATAAGCCTAAAATAGCTGAAGAAATAAGCGGTACTTTGGGAGAAGTTGCTACTAATATTAGCTACGAAAAAAATAGTGGAAGTTCGGTTTTATATGAATGTGTAAAAACAGTTTTTGAAATTCAAAGCACTAATTCTCTTAAATATTATGCATTAATGTCCTTGGTAAATTTTACTCAATAAAGAATCAAATAACCGATATGTATCTCTAAGTATGATGCAAAAAGTACTAAATCATAATATCAACACAGTACAAAAACATAAAAATATAATATTGGAATGTTTAAAAGAAGAGGATATTTCAATAAAATAATTAGCTTTAGATTTAATTTTTATGATTAGTAATTAATCTAATGTAGATTAAATTATCAAAGAACTCCTCAATAATATGATTAATTAAAATAATCAACAGTTCATGCCAGAATTAGTTTTTAAAGTAAAATTTTTTATTTAAATTTAAAAAATAAATAAATAAAATATAGACTTGCGCTATTATAGATAAATATGCACCTAATAGAAGATGGTAAGTTGATACTATTATTAAGGTATTAAGTCTTGCAGGTTCTTTCGCGAAAGAAGATACAGTTAATAACTTGATAAATTTAATTTCTGTTTCCAAACCATTGTAATAATATTCTGTACAAAAGTTATACTTTGCACTTTAAGAAAAAACAGAACAAACAGGATTAGCTACAGCGGCATTATATTGTATTGGAGAGTATGCAAGTTTATGTTTGTCGACTGATATTAATGAATAAACAATATTTTAATTAGTTTCTAAAGTTTTCTAAATACATGATTTGAATGATATTGTAAAAGAATATGGACTTCATTGTTTAATGAAACTTTATAATAAATTTAATTCAATAACAGCTAATTAAGTAATTGAAATTTTTAAAAATTTTACATCTTCAACAAATCCAGAAATATAAAAAAGATCTTGTGAGTATTTGTATGTAATAGAAAATTAAAATAAAAAGGATATTAGTGATGTTTTTTCATAAAATCCAGATTATGAAAAAGCAAAAAAATAATATAAGCTTTAAATTGACGAAGAAGTTGGAAGTGGAGAAGAAACTAATGTTTCAGCTACGAATAATGAAGATAAAAATACTAATATTAATCTTCTTGATGATTTATTAAATATTAACCCATAATAAGCAAATAATAATCCTACTGATTTGCTTGTTGATTTGATAGGAGGAATTGATGAAACACCTATTGCTTAATAAGACAAAAATAATAATTTTGATATATTAAATCTTTATGATAATCCTAAATAAAATCAATAGAAAGTAAATTAGTAATAATAAGAATAACCCCGAACTAAGTCTTAATCTTAAGTCTAATAAACTTCTTAAACTTAAATTTAACATATTGATTTATTGGATGAAGTTTAGATTGGCTAACCAGCATAAAATAAAAAATATGAGATGACTGCTTTAGAAGATGCCTGCATAAAACTTTGTTTGAAATGTGAAAAAACTAACGAAAATACAACTTAAATAAAAGCTGAGTTTGGAAATAAAACAAATGAACTTATTACTAATCTAATTCTATAAGTAGCTGTTTAAAAGCATAATAAACTTAATATGAACCCTTTAACATCGACTTAAATTAAACCTAATAACTTTACTGATACAAACTAGGTATAAATTTAAATTATTTATAAATATTCAATATTATAAAATAAAAATTATGTTAATATAAAAATTAGTTAATGATTATTATTAACTCAATGTAAGGTTAAAAAAATATAATGATTAAAATAAAGATATAATATACAATTGATAATAAAACAGTAATTTTATAACAATATTTTTTATTATTATTTTTTTATTAAAAAAAAGCAAACTTTAGAAGGCATTGCTTAGGATTTTCCTCCTGATTGGTGATTATATAATATTCAATTTTTTTATGTTACATATTTAGATATGTACTTTAAATAAAACAATTGTTTTATACTTGAGAAAATAATAATTTCTTTTATAGTTTTAATATTAAATTTATAAATATATAACATCCATTTTTTTTTAATAATATAAATGAATAAAAACCAATTAAAATTTTAAAATAAAAATAAAATTATATATAAAAAAATCATAATCTAGCATTCTAAATAAGTTCACCATTATTAGGTTATGAATTGAACTTTTCATAATCCTAAGCAATAGGTGCATTTAATAAATGTTCAGGAATTCCAAATGAATTTACAATATGAAGTGCCATACCATGTAATTTATTAATTGAATTTTTTCTATTTTCTTCAAGTGATTTAGCTCCTTCAATACTAATAATTCCATTAATTAAATACCATCCTAAATTGCTTAAAACAACTCCTAATAAATGTAATTAGAAGCATAAATCTAGAGGTATTCTAATATCATGTCTAGCTTTTAATATCATATCTTAAGCAAAGTCCGCGATAATTCTTTCTCCAAAAGATTTTGCCAAATTTTAGACACTTGCATTTTCTTTTTCCATCCAAATTTCATATATATCTTTTCCTTATTTCATTTAGCTTTATGTCATAGTTTATACTTCTTCAATTAATTTATTCTATTGTTATTTTAAATTTATTTAAAAAAAATTATATAAATAAATACTTCTCTAATTCTAATTAAATCGACCAAAACTTCAATAGAATTTAAATTATTTAATTTTCTTAATTAATCTATAGAATTTATAGGCTTTGAAAAAGGGAATTTTTTCTAAGAAACAAGTCCTAATAATTCTTTTGAAACTTTTTACATCAAAACTGAATTATCTCCTTCTGCGGTAATTCCTGAATGAGCAAAAGGAAGTAAATCACCTAACCTATTAACACTTAAATAACCTTATCCTCCAACTCTTTCAACTAAAAAATTAAAATAAATAAATAAATAAAAACAATAATTTAAATACCTAAACACGTTCCTACATCTCTAGCATTCCAAGTAATAAGAGGTTTAACAGCACAACATAAACAAACTAAGAAAGGACTAGCTTCTTGCTTATTTAAAAGAGAATCACTGTATAAAATTTTAACTTTATTAAAGGCTACATTTAGTGTCACAGTTCTTGCCAAAAATGGGTAAACCTAATTTTGAAAAAGGTTAAAGTTTATAATAGGGGTATCAGACATTCCACTACGTCCAACTGCGAGTCTCTAAGATGCATATCTAAGTGCTGTAGCAAGGCATATTTTAGTTCCAGAAATTAACATGGAAGCAATACATAATCTTCCCGATAAAAGTCTGTCAGCAACCTTTAAGAAACGTTATCTTTTATCTTTAATTGATGATGTAAAAACTCCTTCAGGGGACATTTCAGAAAATTTATTTAGTAAAGCTTCTCTAGGAATTCTAACATTTGTAAATTTCAAACGACCGTTGTCAACCCCATTAAGTCCAAATTTGCCTCCCATATCTTCGATATAAACACCATTACATATGCTGCCATCTGCGTTTCTGACTCTGACTAAAAATGCATGTACACCTTCTTTTTAATTACCAGGAAGTATAAGTTAAGCAAAAACGATTGCATAATTGCAGTGTAAAGCTCCATTTGTAATCCAATATTTTTGACTCAAAACAGAAGGAGAATTTATAACAAATTCTTTAGTTGCAGGGTCCCAAGTACTGGTAGTCTCCATTTATACTGCATTGTTTCCATATCCAAGTTCAGTAAGGGCAAAACAGCCTATTGTTTATAAACTGTCAACTCCTTCAGCTATAGGTAAATGGCGTTCAGTTCCTAAAGTATAAAGGGTACCTCCAAACAAGTTCAATTAAACAGTTAATTTCGTTGCTAATGAACCGTCAATCCAGGCTGCCATTTCATGATTGCAAAATACGTTTAAAGGATTTTGAGAAAAATCATGGACAGAAAATACTTTATTTTTTGCAAATATTTGGAGTCTTTGTAAAGCTAAATCTTTTTGTTCACGAAGAGATAAATTGTTGCGAGGAATAAATATTGGATCTTTAGAAAATTCTTTGTATTTTTTACGAGTTTCAAAACAATTATTATCTAAAAACTGAGCGAATTCAAATGGACAGAATTAAAGTTATTATGTCATATATTTTTTATTTTTATTTTCTAATATATTTTTAACTTTTTTTTTAATGTTATTATATATATATTAATAAATATATATTTTTTATTGATGATTCATTGTTATTACGTATTTAAGAAAATATTTAAATCTAATTTTAATTTATTTATATTTTTTATATATTAAGATTAGTAAATCATATATATTTGTTCAGAATATATTATACGTTTTACAATTAAAAATTATTATTTAAATACTATTATTTTTAATAATTAAAAATATTTAATATAAATAGAAATTATTATTTATAAATTCAAAATTTAATTATTATAATTAATTATATTAATAAAACATAAAATTTTCTTTATTAACTAAATAATAAAAATATTCTTTTTCATTTTCATACTTATCTTCTTAGTATTAAATATATTTATTATTAATTATTTTAATCAATAATTTCACAATCTTGATGAAAGCTAATGCTAATATAATCAAATAATTACCTATATAAATATTAATTTTTTAGCTATTTAAAATTGTTTCTAAATCCTTAATTAAATAAATTAATTTTTTTATATTAATTCAAAAGTAAAATCATAATCGTTTCTATAATATATTTAATTTTTTTGTTTAATTTTTCACCAACTTTTATATGAATAGTTTATAAACACTTTATTAAAAGAAAAATATGGTAAAAAATTATGTTTTATTAATAATTAAACAAAAATGATTTCTTAAGTATTCTCAATAAATTAATTAAAATACATAAATAAAGATTTTAGTATTTATTCGATAAAAATTGAAAAAAAATTCAATAAAAATAAATATTTTAAATGTTTAAAATTAGGCAAATGTTTAAAATTAGGCAATATATTTGCTAAAATAAAAAAATGCAAAATTATTATAAACATTTAAAAATCATGGTATTTTCATAAATAGTAATATTAAATTAATATTATAACTATAATTCCTATTAATTATATAAACGATTATAATATTTCATATACATTAAATAAATAAAAAAATATATATTATTAGTTTTAATATATTTAATATTTAAAAAAATATATTTATAATATTTTTATATATAAATTATATAAAATTTTTTATTATATACAAATTTTTAATATATTTTTTACATTTATAATTAAAAAATTTATTTTTAAAAAAACATCAGTCGAATATATTTTTTCTTTTTAAAAATAAAAATTATAATTAATATAAAACTAAAATGTTATTAAACAAAAAATAAATTTTATTTAATTTTTTTATTTTTATATTATAAAAATCATTCTAAATTTAATTATTTTATAATTATGTACGATTTATTTATATTTTTATAAATTTATTTTTTAATTTATTTTAAAATGATAAAGATAGAAAAATATAAAAAATATTTATAGATATATAAATAAATAATAAATTTATTAATAATAAAAAAAGATAAAATTTATTTTTATAAAAATATGTATCTTAATTAATTATATAAATATTTAAATTTTATAAATTTATTTTATAACAAAATAGTAAATTATGAATAGTATAAATTAATTTTATTTAATAGTAAATTTTTAATGGCATATAAAAATATTACATTTATATTTTACTAAGAATTTATATAAGCTTTATTTATCTTTTTAAATATAATTAATTATTAATTTAAAAAATATATTTATATTTCCAACAAACAGTAAAATTAAATAATATTTTAATATAGTAAAAAAATTATTAAATTTAGCTACTATTAAATTATAATTTTTTCGATGTGCCTCTTATAATCTATCTTTTTTAATTTTTTTTAATTGTCATTAAAAAATTTCTATAATATTTTTACGAAGTTCATTTTATTACTTATTTTAATTTATTTTTTATAATTATTTACATTTTTATATTTATTTTTGTAACCATTTCATACTAAATTATATATTATTAAATTAAAGAATCAATATATTTAATATAATTTTAGTATATTTATTAAAAAAAAAATTATTTAAAAATTCCTAAAACTTTTTTATTTTAAGTTTTTTCTTATCCTTTAATATATATCTTTCAAGAATTCTAAATAATTTTAGTTTAAATTATATATTTTAAAAAAAAAAATATATAAAAATAAAAAAATAAAACAAAATTAAGATATCAATATGGTAAATAAATAAATAATTTTTATTAATTTAATTATCATATATTATAATGAATTCATTTTAGGCTCCTAAAATTAAAGAATAAGATATGGTTCGCATAAGCAATAGAATTAAATCGAAGGAGTAAATATAAAACTATAATTATTTTATTTTTAATAATTTATATCGTTAAATATTATTTATTTATTTTTTTTAGTAAAGTTGATTATTTTAAATTATGCAATGGAGAATATGATTTAGCATTAGAACCATATGTATGATTATTATATTTTAATCAAACATTTTAAAAATTTTATATTGTAGTTATCATTTTTTAAAAATTCTTAATTTTTTATTTTTTTTTATTTTTTATTTTTAATATTTATTAATTTATGCGCAAATATTTTTTTAAAAAGGAACATAAACCCGCCAGACGTTATAATAGAAGATTTAAAGGGATTTATTGGAAAAAAAGAAACTTAAATAACAATAATGAATATAAGCCGAATTCTAGAAAAAAATACTAATCAAAACACCCGAAAAAAAGGCGCATTACTATAAAAAAATAAAAGTTAGTTTATTTTTTATAAATAAAAAAATACAAAAAAAAATTAATAAAATACATTTATAATAAAATATTTTGATTTTATATAATTTAGTTAAATTGATAATTAAATTTAATTATTAATATAATGGAGATAATAATTGTAATTATAAGCAGATTAAGTAAAGTCTGATGCTAATCATAAGTAATATATTATCTTTTAAATAAGCTAAATATTTTTTTAGAGTTATTTAAGTCAAAAATATATTAAAGTAAGATCTTTCTAAATATTCTCATGATTTACAAGCATTATTCATAAATATTCTTTGGAAAGTGGATACTAGGTAAGGAAAAGAAGGTATTGATATAAAGGAATTTAGTTAATTTAAAATTGATTTAAATTTAATGAAAAATGGAATTGTATTTATATGGAGTGAAAAATAAATATTAGGATAAATTATTGATTGTATGATTGAAAAAGGATTTTAATATATTGAAAATTTCTCTATTATATTCTTAGATTAAAATAAATGTTTATCTGAAATAAATAAAGATTAAAAATAAGAAACTTAATAAGAAAAGGATAAAAACTAAAAAAATCTTAGACTAATTTAAAAAAAAGCATTCTAAAAACATTCATCAAGATGGTGAAAAAATTATATAAAAAACTCAAATTTAAATTGAGGAAGAAAAAAAATTAGTAATAAGTAATTTACATAAAATAAAGCAATCTAATATCAATAATTTGCTTTTAAAAAATGATTATACTTACTTTAAAAAACTAAGCATACATTACTTATGTTCAGAAGAGTAATATTTATTATTATACTTATATTTATTTTTATTAAATAGTTTGGTGAGAAAAATTAATAACTTGAGTTAAGACATCAAAGGACACCAGACGTTGTTTTTGAATTAACAGAATAAAACGATCCTTCAAGTTTATTTATTATTTTATACCATTTTTATTAAGTAATAGATATTGACAAATAAATGAAAGAATATATTTATTAAATGATAGAAACTTTACTTCCAAAAGCTCTAAATAATTAAAAAACTGATAAATTCTTTAAAATGATGGAATTGTAAAATCAAATATAATTATTTTAAAAATAAATTAATAAAAATAATTAGATTTGCAAATATTTAAAATCCAAGAAATGGATGGATAAGCATTTGTGAAAAAAAATGAAAATATATATGTATATCATAAAAAAATAACAAACTTAGAAATGATATAATTAATTTTATTTATATATTTTATTCTTATTAAATACTTTTTTAAAAATTAGTTTTATTTTATTTATATACTTAAAATTTTTTATTTATTTAAATAAATATTATTTTTGTATTTAATAATTTTTATTAATTTATAAAAAATTATTAATATAATGTATATTAAAATACTTTATAAATTTGTAAAAAATAAAATATTCATTATTTATATAAAAATTAATATATATATAATTATATTTATAAATATATATATATATATATCTATATATTTATATATATATATTTATATTTTGTATATAATTGTTTTTTAATGTTTTTGTTTTATTGAAAAATTAATAAAAAAATTTATAAAACTTTAAATTTTTTTTAAGATATTTTTTTCGCTACAACTATTAATTATTATTTATATCATATTTTTTTATACTTAATTTATAAAATAATTAATAAAAACATAAATATAGTATATATTTAATTTAAATTTTATTAATAAAATTTCAATCTGAACAAAATAACTATTATTTAAATATATATCTTTTAATTTTGATTAAATCTTAATTTATATATTTTTCAATATATTTGACATAATATTTCTATTCAATTTAAATAAAGAATTCCAATAATTTATTAAACATATTAAAAAATTATAAAAGAAAATAATTATAATAAATGTAACTTAGATTAAAATTAATTTATGTTTATTTATGAAAAAATAACCATTCTAATGCCAAATAATAATATTTAATAATTAAATTATAATCTAGAAAATTTTACTTAAAGAAAAAATTTTAACAATATTAAATAATTTACAAATTTTATAAAAAAAAATATAATAAGAAGCATGTTTTTTTATATCTTTAAAAACACTAAATAAAAATATTATTTCTTTCATATGAATCTTAAATTTTATTTTATATATTAATATATATAAATTTTAAATTATAAAAGCAGTTGTGAAAAAAAAAAAAAAAATTATATTATCGTAGGATCTTTAAATATTTTCTAAGAAAATATTAAATAGAAAACTTTCTTAATTATTTATAAAACAAAATTTGTAATTTATTTAAAATAATAGTTCAAAAAAATTAATATTAAACTATATTTTTTATTTTTTTAAAAAGAAAATA